CGTGTAGGGTATCTCCTGAGGTACCCCGTGTGGGAGTGGGTTCTGTGGTACCCCGTGTAGGAGTCCAGTAGGGCCTACCTACCACACTGTTCTGTGGGCTCCTGAGAATACCTGCTGTCTCATTGGCATCTGTACGAGAGTGGTATTGTTTCGGCGTCACAACCAGGACCTCTGACAGTGCTTATCGCTTTGAGTCTTGGGACCCGTTGCTGAGGGGTGTTCAGACTCTCACTGACTGCAGTGTCCTCACTGTCTTACAGCTATACATCCAGGTGTTCCTGAAGAAGGATGACTCAGTGGGCTACCGGGCCTTGGTGCAGACGGAGGATCACCTGCTACTTTTCCTGCAGCAGCTGGGTAAGTAGGCCGCATTCACCCCAGTGTTTCCTCTGGCCTTACTGGTATCATCGGGACTGTGGACAGCCCTTTTGGAAAAGGGTCAAGTGAAATGTAGTCTACAATTTTTTTCAGATCCTTATTTTGCCTGCTTTTGAATAATTCCTTAGCAGTCTAGAGTGGGATATAGAACTTTCCTCACCTGACCTACTGATTCCGGCCCCTTGCTTTGCTTTTTCTCTTTTTATGTGAGAGCCATAATGATCCCTAAGCCATCTAGAAGGGTCTCCAGAAAGCCAATTGGCTTTTGTGGTTTTCTGCAGCTGGGAAGGTGGTGTTGTGGAGCCGCGAGGAGTCCCTGGCAGAAGTGGTGTGCTTAGAGATGGTGGACCTCCCCCTGACTGGGGCACAGGCTGAACTGGAAGGAGAGTTTGGCAAGAAGGCAGGTATGAACCGAGGAGGTCAGGACAGCAGAGCTGCTGATGGGGCCCCTCTGGGGATGTGTCTGTTAGTTGGCCCACAAAAGACACCTGCATCCCTGACTCCGGGTCTAGCCAGATTGCCAGTCCATTCTAACTAGCCGTGACCAGCTTCTGGTGTGTCTGTGACCACATGGTTTATGTACTTTTCTGTGAGGATGAACTGACCTTCCAGGGCGGGGGAAGGTCTTCCCTTGTCATAATAATAACAACGATGTATGGTACCATGGTCTGAGCACTAAAACTTGTCAGGCTCCGTGCGAGGCAGTGTCCCACTGTCCCCAGAGCAGTATTACGTACGCCTGGAGAGACGTTGCTGGGATGAACTGTTGTGGAAATAGCCGAGCCCACTGGAGCTGGGGACGGTCCCAGCCCCAGGTTGAATTTGATTCACTGTACCCCGCTTCAGTGCTGCCTCCCACCTCTCCCCTCCACCCTTACCTAGCTCACCTCCAGGTGGATACTGAGGGCCCCCTCTGGGCCAGGCACCTTGCTAGGCATTGCACTTGTCCTTAAGCCAAGAATTAATTGGACTTTACTATTTATTTCCGCGGCCTGGATCCAGCGATTCAAGGTAAAACCTCCTTCTTGTTGCCTTCTTGCTCATTGGCTGCCCACTCGGCTGGCTTTCGGCTGATTACTTGTTTCCCCTGACTTGTGTATTGCAATGTGCCGCACACCATGCTCGTGGGACCTGCTGTGCTCTTGACTTGTTCTCTGTGCCCCTCACTTTTGTTCCTTGGACGAGAAGATAAACAGGTGCTCCTTGTTAGCACTTGCCAAGTACTGGGCACTGTTCTAGGTCTTGTATGTACATCACGTGATCTAACCCTTGCAGCAGTCGTACGGGTTACATGCCACAGATGAGCCGGAGGCCCAAAGGTTAGGTCTGTTTCCCAGGTCACGTGGTAGTAAGCAGTGGAACTGCGGTTTTAATCCATGCTACCTTGTGTCCAGTTGCTGGTGGAGATTTAAAGGGTGGTCTCACTGGTGGAGTCAGAGACAGAGTGAATGGTAATCGTGGGAGCGGGTCGCAGTGGGTCTGTTGGAGCAGGCTGAATGGTTGACAGTAGGAATGAGGCCAAGGGAGACGGACGTGCTGGTTCATGATACACATACATCTGCACCCTGCACCCCACACCCCTGTACCTCTTCTTGCTTCGTCATGGCACCCAGAGGCCGTTTTCTGGCCATCTTGGATGTGGGTGGTGGTGGAGATATTCACAGCACGGCTGCATCCTGCATGGCCAGTCCTGACCTCTTAGTTTCCTGTCACAATATTCCAGGCAGATGAAGTGACAGCCAGGTAAGGAGGTTTTGGAAAGCTCCTGCTTGGCCTTGCCTGAGTGTGAGGTGGTAGACATTAGACACAAGATGGCCCCTTGGGCTTGTGGCTGGGAGTGTGACTTGAGCACCCCACAGGAGAGGGAGAGATCTGTCCGTAGGAAAAGCGTGTCCTCCTTGCTGGACACCTGGTTTGATGTGGACTGCGCTGTCTTTACTTTGACACCAGATGGCCTGCTGGGGATGTTCCTGAAACGCCTCTCGTCTCAGCTCATCCTGCTGCAGGCGTGGACTTCCCACCTCTGGAAGATGTTTTATGATGCCCGGAAGCCCCGAAGTCAGATTAAGAATGAAATCAACATTGACACTCTGGCCAGAGATGAATTCAACCTACAGAAGATGATGGTGATGGTCACCGCCTCGGGCAAGGTGAGAGGCGGGTAAGCCCCAGGTACCGAACCTTCTGAAATTTGGGGCTGAAAACAAAAAACCTTTGGTAAGGCATAGCACGGTCCTGGCTTTCATGGACAGAATCAGCTCTTTGGTTCCTCTTTTTGGTAGTGAGCCAAGTATTTATCTTGCAGCTTTTTGGCATTGAGAGCAGCTCTGGCACCATCCTGTGGAAACAATATCTACCTAATGTGAAGCCAGACTCCTCCTTTAAACTGATGGTCCAGAGAACCACTGCTCACTTCCCGCACCCCCCGCAGTGCACCCTGCTGGTGAAGGACAAGGTGAGCCCATCCACCTCTTGCTTCGGCCAGATGAGGTCTGGGCTTTTCAGTGTTTTGCAACTTAAATTTCTCCTAGGTCCTTAGTTACAGGGGGATCCTTGGGGGTTAGAACTCTGTTCCTTCCAGTTGCATGCCTGGGTAGAGGGCCCATCCAGCATAACTGACTAGCAAGTGGGCATGACTTGCCCAGATGTATAGCAAGCTAGCCCTCTTCCTTTCAGAATAGAGGTTGGTGGCTGAGTGGCTGTTTTCTCTTCTCTATGAGGGAGAAGAAGATACAAAGGTGCTTATATTTTGCCTCTTACAACTGAATGGGTTTTGTGGATGATTTCTGGCATTATTAGAAAGGGGGTTTGGTGGGCAACTCTTCTGAAATGCCTGCCCTGGGCATGCTGAGTTGCTGCCTGACCTTTTCATTTGTTTTTTAGCATGTTCAGTTCCTGGTTAGGTTTGGAGCCAGAAAATAATTGACTTTCTTCCTTTTCACATTAGCCTAGGGGAACCATTGCCCTTCAGGCCAGACTTCGTTTTCTTTCTTTTCTTTTCTTTTTTTTTTTTTTTTTTTGTGAGGTTTTGCTTTTTTTTTTTTTTGAGAGGTTTTGCTATAGGGTACGTGGGCTCACCAGAAAGACAGAGAGACAACAGAAAGGGAGAAATCACCCCCCTGGGGGTATGGCCATACTGCAATCCCTTCTCCTCCATTCTCCTCTTGGGATCCTGGGCACACATGTACACACACCCAGTGTGAGTTTAAGCCACTGGGTCTGGGATTCGAACCACAGTTGACTACATGGGAGTCCAGCGACATAGCCATTATACTAATTTTCATTTTTTAAAAAAGATTTATTATTTTTTTAATTTGTTTTTATTTATTTTAATTTGACCAGAGAGAGACAGAGAAAGAAAGAAAGAGAGAAAGCAAGCCACCAGGTCTGGGATTTGAACCATGGTCAGCTATAAAGGAGTCCAGCACCTTAACCATTATGCCACCTGCCATCCCCCAGACTTCATTTTCTACAAAGAGGGCAAAGACTAGGGAATCCCTTGCAGTTGAGCTGAAGTCCCAGAGGATTTGCATTCTCTTCACGATGGTGGAGTCTGACAGTTTGCCCATTTCAGGAGACGGGAATGAGTTCCCTGTATGTCTTCAATCCTATTTTTGGGAAGTGGAGTCAGGTGGCTCCCCCAGTGCTGAGGCGGCCCATCTTGCAGTCCTTGCTCCTCCCAGTCATGGATCAAGACTACGCCAAGGTGCTGCTATTGATAGATGATGAATACAAGGTACTGCTTCATAAGAGGGCGTGGAGAACCCCCAGGTGGGGTCCGGAGTGGCATGGGCGGTCACAGTGACCAGAGGTAGTGTGTGTCTGCAGGTTCAGGTCTGGGCTCTAAGGTCATTCCCAAGATAGTTGCTGTTTCTGCCCTTGTGCAAACTAAGGTTCTTAAAAGAACTAAATTTAAGCCCTATATTGAGTTCCGTAGGTGCTGACTCTTTTAAGATTTGCTGTTTTATTCTTTTCTTTTTTGGGGGAGGGGTTTTTACTATAGGGTGCGTGCGCTCACCAGAAAGACAGAGAGAGACAGACAGACAAAAAGCAAGAAATCACCCCCCAGGGGGGATGGCCACGCCGCAATCCTTCTCCTTTTTCCTCTCGGGATCTTGGGCACGCACGCACACGAGCCCGATGTGAGTTTAAGCCACCGGGTCTGGGACTCGAATCACGGTCGACTACATGGGAGTTCAGTGACATAGCCATTACGCTAACTGCTGGTCCCTGCTGTTTTATTCTTAAGGTGCCTTTCGTGGGGAATTAGTCATGAGTCTTGGGAAATAGGGTTTAGGGATTCCTAACCCTTTCCTTTAACTCTGTGTGGGCTGTTCTCAAGGTCACAGCTTTCCCAGCCACGCGGAACGTCTTGCGACAGCTTCACGAGCTCGCACCTTCCATTTTCTTCTACTTGGTGGATTCAGAGCAGGGGCGGCTGTGCGGATACCGACTTCGGAAGGTAGGGAAGGGGCGCCATGGCAGGGCCATGTGTAGCGGGTGTTTCCTGGTTCATTGGCTACAAAGTGAATTATGCTACTCCTTTCCTTGTAAGCTGAGGTCGGTTTCACCCTGCTCTCGGAGACACAGTCGTCGTTCATATTTACTGGGCAGCTGGTGCCGGGCGGGCATGACTTCGGGGCTGCAGACAGAGCAGAGCACAACAGGTAGTCTTTCCTCAGGGAGCGTTTGTTCCACGTTCCTTTCCTCTAGCAGACAGAAGGGGTGTTTTGCTCCATTTTGGGAGGGTGAGGTAGGAAGGGGGGTTGAGTGATGAGATGTACTTTTATGTGAGGATAAGGTTAATGACTGACTTTCAATAGAATCTGTGTTTTGAATTTTCTTTCTAGAAATGGGATGATTTACTCTGATCCTGACATACTTAACCCAACTTTTTTTTTTTTTCTTTTAAGGTTTTTGCCATAGGGTGAGTGCGAGAGAGAGAGAGAGAGAGAGAGAGAGAGAGAGAGAGAGAAAGAGACACACAAAGAGAGGGAAAGTAAAAAAATCATCCCCCATTGGAGATGGCCACACTGCAGTCCCTTCTCCTCCATTTTCCTCCTGGGATTTGGGCATGCATGCACACATGCCTGATGTGTTTTTCAAGCCACCAGGTTTAGGACTTGAACTGGGGTTGACCATGTGGGAATCCAGGGCTGTACCCACTATGCATCCTACTGTCTCCAACCCAACTTTTTTTTTTTTTTTAAGTTTTTACTGTAGGATATGTGCACTCACCAGAGAGACAAGGAGAGAGAGGGAAAGTGAGAAAAGAATCCTTGTGGGGATGTCCATGGCATAATGCATAATCCTTTCTCCTCCAGTCTCCCCTCCAGATTTTAAGCCTGCATGCACACATGCCCAGCATGTTTTTCAAGCTGCTGTGTCCAGACTCAAATTCCTCAGTTGGCCATGTGGGATCCAGCCACCATAACCATCACACCACTGGCTGACCTGTTAATCCAGCTCTTATAAACTGTGTTACACTAGGGGCTGGCAGGTGGCCTGGTGGTTAAGGGCGCTGGACTCCCACATGGCCTACCGTGGTTCAAATCCCAGACCTGGTGGTTTGCTTTCTCACTTCCTCTCTCTCTTGCGGTCCTGCTCTGGACAAATTTAAATAAATAAATGAATAAAGTTAAATAAAAATAATTCCTATAAATAAAAAAATAAAGTGTTACACAGTGGTTCTGAAGTCCAGCTCTGAAGTTTGCAGGGGCTGGCCTTGCTAGCAGGGCTTTGTGAGCACTTTGTGATACTCATTAGCGTGCCTCCCAGCCTGTGCTCGAAGACCTTTTGAGATGGAATGTAGCATAGAGGTTAAAAGCGTGGAACCAGCTGCTCCAGCTTTATCAGCGTGTTTGACTCTGGGCTTCTGACATTCTGGTACTCTATTTCATGTCTGTGATATAAGGTGATATTAGTGCCGACTTTCTAAGGTTACTGTGAGGACTTGCTGAGTTAGTGCGTGTAAAGCACAGGAAACAGTGCCTGGCACATGGTAAATACCGTCCAAGTTGGAGCTGTTGTTTTGAAAATACAATGCCCTTTCTTGATATTTTGGTAACAGCTTTTTAGCATAAATACTGTAAGACAGTTGTCTAGAGGGGCAGAAAGGTGGTGTGGTGGTTAAGGGCGCTGGACACCCACATGGCTGACTGTGGTTCAAGTCCCACATGGCCGATTGTGATTCGAGTCCTGGACCTGGAGATTTGCTTTTTCACTGTCCCCCTGCCCCGTGGCTCTCTGGAACTATTAAAATAATAATAATAATAATAAAGTTTAATAAGATAATTCTTAAAAAATATAAATTGCCTGGAAAACACATTCTTGGGCTTGTTTTTTTTTTTTTTTTTTTGGAGAGTTTTTCGCTACAGGGCGCGTGTGCTCGCCAGACAGACAGAGAGAGACATAGAGACAGAAAGCGAGAAAGCACCCCCCAGGGGGGATGGTCACGCCACAGTCCCTTCTCCTCCATTCTCCTCTCGGGATCTTGGGCACGCACGCACACGTGCCCGGCATGAGTTTTAAGCCACCGGGTCTGGGACGTGAACCACGGTCGACTACGTGGGAGTCTAGCGACATAGCTATTATGCTAACTGCTGGTTCCCTAGGGTTGGTTTGTTTTTGAATAAAGTCTGCCAGAGGTGTGTGCACTCACCTAAGAGAGACAGAGAGGGAGAGGGAAAGGGAGAAAACACCGTCATGGGAGATGGTCACATAGTAATCCCTTCTCCATTTTCCCCACCTTCCAGGATTTGGGGCACAAATACACACATATGTCTAACATGCCCTCAGCATGCTTTTCAAACTGCAGGGTCAGGCTTTTTTTTTTTTTAAGAGGTTTTTGCTATCGGGTGTGTGTGCTCGCCAGAAAGACAGAGAGACAGAAAGTGAGAAGAGAGAGACAGAGTGACAGAAAGCGAGAAATCACTCCCCCAGGGGGATGGTCACACCGCAATCCCTTCTCCTCCATTCTCCTCTCGGGATCTGGGCATGCACGCACATGCACCCGGTGTGAGTTTAAGCCACTGGGTCGGTCTGGGACTTGAACTGCAGTCGACTACATGGGTGTTCAGCGACATAGCCATTACGACAATTGCTGGTCCCATTATTTTGTAATTTGACCAGAGAGAGACAGAAAGAAAGAGGGACAGAGAGAAAGCAAGCTGCCAGGTTTGGGACTCGAATCCAGTGCCTTTAATCACCATGCTACCTGCTGGCCCCTGCTATTCAGTGAGAGAGACAGCTAGAAAGGGGCCCTGGGTCCTGATGTCACACAGTCTGTCCCTAGCCCCAGTCTCAGATTATGGGTAGGTGCTTGCTCTTCTCCAGAGAGGTCTCAGGACATGAACCTAGGACATTCCCATGGGGGTCAGCCTTTCAGGGTATTGCAAAGCAGTTTATTGCTGTGCCACCGTCTAACTCCCTTACTTGTTACTAATATAAACTTTATTTAAAAAAAAAAAGTAGAGCTGACTCCATGGCCTGCTGGCCATGTAGCGGATCCTACATGGCCAGCTGCGTGGTTCATGGCCAGGGCCCAGCAGCTTGAGAAACATGTTGGGCACATGTGTGCACAGGCCCAGAATCCTGAAAGGAGAGTGATGGAGGAGAAGGGATTGCAGAGCGACCATTCCCCATGGGAGGGTGCTTCTCCTCTTCCTCTCTGTCTCCCTCCGGTGAGCATGTGCATTCTCTGGCAGAAACCTAAATGTTGGTAAGAGGTGAGAATATTCGCATCATGAACGGCCTGTGATACAGAAGTATACACGCAGAACGCGGACAGGCCCTCGCAGCCCCATTTCCAGTTCTCTCCCAGGTGGAAGGCCTGGCGGCAGTGCGCTGTCCCTCTGCCTGCTGTCCCTTCTGTGCCCTTACAATGCTCTTATCTGTACCACACACATGTGTGTCTCATACTTTTTTTTTTTTTTTACTTTGGCCATTGGGCCTGTGTGCTCACTGCTCACCAGAGAGAGACACAGAGACACAGAGAGAGGGCAAGTAAAAAATTGCCCTTCTTGGGCATGGCTATTCCATAATCCTGTCTTCTCTATTCTCCTCTCAGGTTTTGGGCACACATGCACCCCTGCCTGGCATGATTTTCAAGCCGCTGGGTCCGGGACCTGAATTGAAGTTGGCCATGTGGGGGTCCAGTGCCTTAATCACTGTGCCAAATGCTGGACCTTCTCATACATGTTTTTTCATGGGGTGTGCTCACATCACAGCCCCTTCTGCTTCATTTCTCTATTCTGTCAAGATTTGGGGCACATGTGCATATGCGCCTGCTGTTTTTCAGGTTGCCTGGATCAGTATTCAAACTGAGGGCAGCGGTGTGGAACGTAGCCCCTTAACCACTAGTTATGAGGCTGGTTCTCATGATCGCTTTCTGTTTTGTTTCGTTTTATAAAGAGATTTTTGTTGTAGGGCACACGTGTTTGCCAGAGAGATAGACAGAGATGGAGAGACAGAAAGTGGGAAGTCACCCCCCCAGGGACAATGGCCACGCTGTAATTGCTTTTCCTTTCAGGATTTTGGGCATGTATGCACATGTGCTCAAAGTGAGTTTTAAGCCACCAGGTCTGGGACTCAAACTGTGGTCCACTATGTGGGAGTCCAGCAACATAACCATTACACCGTCTGCTGATCCCATCATAATTGCTGTTTTTTTCATAATTCCTTTTTTATTCAGATGGAATTGACCTATATTTATTATTATGGAGTTTGCTTTTTTCATTCAGTGTGTTTACTACCTTACTATTTTGTTTATAAACCCCCCCCTTTCTTTTTTAAAGTACAGTATCGAGGGGAGTGCAAAACTGTGAGGTTATGGCTCAGTGGCCCTTTACAAAAGACCTACACTTTGTATATGGCAGAGATCAGAGAGCCGAGCAGCACCAGCAGCCAGAGGCTGTGTCGCTTTCTAGTCACTAAACCCCACCGTGCCAAGAATTCCGTGTAATTCCGCAGTAGGGATGTACAATAACGTGTTTACCTGTGAGTGTTTATTCGTAGCTTTCCTGTGACTGACAAACCAGCAGGCAAGTTTTCAAGGTCCCTGTTAGTGTACTACTGCACTGCTGGTCCCAGGATATAAGGGTTTTAGATTATAGTAGTAAGTGGTAAATTATCTTTTGATGTTTCCTACTCAGCTATGTAATGGGGTACAATCAAGTATTCCTCTCCTTTTTTTACTGGCTTTAATATCGCTTTTTTTTTTGGAGAGGTTTTCACTATAGGGCGCGTGTGCTCGCCAGAAAGACGGAGAGAGACATAGAGACAGAAAGCGAGAAATCACCCCCCAGGGGGGATGGTCACCCCACAATCCCTTCTCCTCCATTCCCCTTTCGGGATCTTGGGCACACAGGCACACACGCCTACGCGCCCGGCGTGAGTTTTAAGCCACTGGGTCTGGGGTGAGAACCGCGGTCGACTATGTGGGAGTCCAGCGACATAGCCATTACGCTGACTGCTGGTTCCCTGGCTTTAATATCTCTTAAACTGAGAGTTTTCTAAGTTCTTCCTGGCTAGCCGGTTGTCTGGTGGTTAAAGTGGCTGGATTCCACATGACTGACTATGTGGTTTGAGTCCGGGACTCACCAGCTTGAGAAACACAGTGAGCGTATGTGTGTGCATGCTCAAAATCACAAGAGGAGGGGGAGATGGAGGAGAAGGGATTGTGGCATGACTGTGCCCCATGGGGGGAGCTTTCTTTTCTCCTTCTCTTTCTGTCTCCCTGGTGAGTGTGTGTACCCTTAAGCAAAATGAAATAAAAAGGAGACTTCTTCATAAACAAGATGTTTGTTGCTATTTTTCTAGGCATTCTGGTCTCTGTTCCTTTCTGCATAATAACCTCACATAGTGGCAGGATGTGTGGAGCGACAGCTGTCGCAGGCCCGTGTACCCTCCTGATACACACTTCTGCTCGTGTCCTAGGACCTCACCACTGAGCTGAGTTGGGAGCTGACCATCCCCCCGGAAGTACAGCGGATCGTCGAGGTGAAGGGGAAGCGGAGCAATGAGCACGTCCATTCCCAGGGCCGCGTGATGGGGGACCGCAGCGTCCTCTACAAGGTATAGTTGAACGTAGAGCCGGGAAGGCAGGTTTAGGGGTCTGGCCCTAGGATTGGCAGACATGTGACCTTGAGAGTCATTTAATCTCTTCCAGCGTCAATTTGCCGTCTGTGGGAGGGGCGTGGTGCCTGCTCCCGTGTCGTGGTGACGACTGCCTGCGTGTGGCAGCTAACCAGGAGACGTGCCTTTGTTACCGTTAGTGGTGCTGTCGTAGCAGTGAAATGACAGGTTAAACCTTGGTGGGCCCATCAGAAACTCCAGCTCTGCGATCCAACACTAGGTTATGGTAAAGGGACTTTCCCGTAAGACAGAGGTGGCTAGTGGCTGTGACACTGTCTTCTGAGAGAATGGGATCCCGGTAGTGATGAGCAGAGACTGAGGGGGAGGGGTCTCAGCGACACCACGGAAGTCGACGAGCATGAGGCAGCACGGCAGAGCACGAGCCTCGAGTTAGACGTGGGGTTCAGGCTTGGCTCTGCGGTGTTCATTGTGGGTCGTTTCCAGGCTGCCTGAACTTCCATTTCTACCAACATAACGAGGTTATAGCACTGACACATGATGTTGATTTGAAGGTTAGCGACAACTTGTGAGATGATTAGAACAGCCTGCCACATAGTTTACGCTATTCTTAGTGCTGCTGACTTGAATTTTTATTGATGAACCCCTTTCATGTAGGAGCAGTCTTAACTTCTTCAGAAGGACCAAAATAATAAAAATCGCGACGTGTGTTTGACTTATACTAGAAAAAATGTAATTGCATTATATTATAAAATTACTGTTTTGTAATTTTTACCAAGGTAAAATTCTCTAGAATAGCTTGTATTTTCATTTGTTGAAAAAGAATAGTAGCTAGTAGCATGGATTTTTGGAGTTAGCAGATGGAGTAGCAGTTACATCGCTGGACTCCCACATAGCCAAACATGGTTCGAGTCCCAGACTTGGTGTCACGAAACTCACGCCGGGCACATGCAAGGCATGTGTGTGTACATGCCCAAGATCCTGGGAGGAGAAGGGATTGCAGCATGGCCATCCCTCCTTGGGAGCTGCTTTCTCACTTTCCCTCTCATTTACCACCCCACCCCCTCCCCCAACCCCTGCATGCATACACACCCTGAGGCAAAAGCCTGTTTAAAAAAAAAGAATAAAAAGGAAGTGGGGATTTTTGGATTCATATTCACTATGCACAGTTTTAAGGGTTTGCAAAAAATGAACTTTTATTTTGGTGTAGTTCCTGATTTACAGAAGAGCTGCAAAAATAGTTCACAGGGAGTCCTTACCCTCTAGTCAAGTGTCCCCTAATGTTCATGCGACGTTTCTGATGACATTGGTACTTGATTGCCAACTCTACATCGACTTGGGTGTCACCAGTTTTTTCACTGATGTCATTTTTCTGTTCGAAGACCTCACGTTACTTTTAGCTGTCAGGTTTCTTCGTGTCCTCTGATCTGTAACGGTGCTCATTCTTTCCTTGGTTTTCATGATCTTGATAGTGTTGAGAAATACTTGTTAGGTGTTTTGCAGAATGTCTCTCAACTTTGGTTTGTCTGATGTCTTTCTTGTGGTTAGACCATGGTTACCGGTTTTTGGAAGGACTGCTACAGAGACGAAGCTGCAGGTGTTTTTGGAGCTCTAGCTGGATGCTAGGTGCTCTTTTCAGGCACTAGAATAATGTCGGTGAGCAAAATAGACATTTTACTGTCCTCGTGAAGCTTTCATTCATGCTGAGAGAGAGGCCAGTAATTAGCATAAATAGGCTAATGATCTACTATAGTGAAAAGTGACCAATTCTGTAAAGAGAGACAAAACCAGAAAGAGGGAGCGAGGCATGGGACTAAGAAGACACTTTATTTTTAAAAAATGATTTTATTTATTATTATTACTGTTTTCAGGTTTGCTAAAGGTCATGTGTGTTCACCAGAGAGAGAGACAGGGAAAGTGAGAGAGCAAGCCATCAGGTCTGGGAGTAGAACTGTGGTCAGCCACATGGGAGTCCGTCGCCTTAACCACCACACCACCTGCTGGCCCTGAGAAGACACTTTAAATAGGGTGTCTAAGGAGGGTCTCATTGAGCAGGCGGCACTGCACTTAGAGTGAGAAAGTGAGTCAGTCATGTAGATTATCTGGGAGAAGAGCCTTCTGGATAGAAAACCAGAGGTCACCTGTGTTTGAGGAATAGCACAGAGGACTGTGTGGCTAGAGCAGGCTGAGTGAGGAGGAGCGTTGGGGCTGCTGAGGTCAGGCTGAAGGGACAGATCACAGGTCATCCGTTTGGCCTTCACTGGCGTGAGAGGATTAGCCACGGCAAAGTTTTGAGCAAAGAAGTGACACAGTGACTGAAATGTACCAGGCTCATTCGGGCCCAGACTGCAGAGGGGCAAGGAAGACAGTAGGAAGACCAGGGAAGCTATTGCAGTGACCCCGGCAAGATGGCGGCAGCTCAGTCTAGGCTGGCAGGTGGGAAGAGAGCAGATTCTGGCTGTTTTTGAAAGTAGAGCAAAAAAGCAGATGTTGATGATGGGAGAGAGAGACAGAGAGACAGAGAGACAGAGACAGACTATGGAGAACAGAGTCGAGGATGACTCAGAGGTCCTGGGTCTGAGACGTTAAAGCATGGAGTTGTCTTTGCCTTAGGTGGGGAGGACTGAGAGAGGAGTAGGCCTTAGGCGGGGGTAGAAGAGTTCTGTTTGGGGCGTGTTACGTCACAGACGAGATATCTAAGAAGAGGCACTGAGATGGCAGCTTGTTAGCACAGCCCGGAGTTCAGGGAGAGTGTGGCTTGGACACATACATGTGTGCACTGCCAGCACCCTCAAATGGTCTTACGCCATGAGATTGAGATCACCACAGTGTCTAGTGTAGGTAAAGATGCCCAGGGCTTGGCTTCTCCATGCAGGTGCCAGTGGGACGGTTCTGGAGCTGAGGCTGTGTGGGAGGCCTGGGTTTAGTCTGGCCCAACCTAAACAGGGTGGGTGCAGTGGTGTGTCCTGTGGCCCCAGCTGTGAGGCTGGGCCAGGAGGGTGACAATGTGGTGCGACCTCTTCAAAAATTACCCCTTTATTTTCTGTGTGTGCGCTCTCTCATTAAAATAAAAAACAAAACAGGGACAGCAGATGGTGTAATTGTTGCATCACTGGACTCCCATGTAGTTGACTGTGGTTTGAGTCCTGGACCTGGTGGCTTAAAACTCACACGTGGTGCGTGTATCCCGAGAGAATGGAAGAGAAGGTTTTGTGGCGTGGTCATCCCCTCTGGGGAGTGATTTCTCGCTTTCTGTCTCTCTATCTCTCCGGCAAGTGGATGCGCCCTATAGCAAAAATCGCTCTCAAAAAACAAAACAAAAACCCAAAAAACCCAAGGTCTGAGCACTCCCTGGTGTGGAGATCGAGGAGATGCAGAGGAACCCTCAAAGACACTGAGGAGGAGGCAGCAGGAAGGGAAGAACCAGGAATAGTGTTCTGGAAGCCAGGGGGAGAGAGTTTCAAGACAGAGTGATCCCCTGGGTATGGTACTAGTAGGTCAAGTAAGATGAGGACTGAAACTCATCCACCCGATTTCGTGATAGGGAGGGTGCTGGAGACCTTGACAAGAGTAAACCTTTCGGGAGAGAAAAGGTCCCTCCTTCGCTCAGTGAGTGGCCAGGCCTGGATTTTGTCTTTGCTACCTCTGTGACTTGGGGAGTTGGCTTAACTCCTTTAAGATATCCCTCATTGTTATTATCCATAATAATGATAATAGCTGCTTTGCTAGGTTGTTTGAGGGTTGGAGGGGAATCAGGGTATGCAGCACAGCCCCGGTGTCTGGTGAACGGCGAACAAGTGCAGTGATGAGAAGCTCTGGGAGGAAGCTCTTCTAACCGGAATCCCATCCCTCTGCCAGGCCAGAGGGCTCCAGGCTGGCCTCCTGGCACGGGGTTCACAGTGGAGTGGCATGTGTGAGGTGTCATCATGGCTCTGAAGGAGCTTTTCTCCCTCTCTGCTCAGAGCCTGAACCCCAACCTGCTGGCGGTGGTGACAGAGAGCGCGGACACACACCACGAGCGCACCTTTATCGGGATCTTCCTCATAGACGGTGTCACTGGGCGCATCGTCCACTCCTCCGTGCAGAAGAAAGCCAAGGGCCCCGTCCATATCGTGCACTCCGAGAACTGGGTGGTGGTAAGGTCACTCCCGGGGGCGCGAGGTAGCTCCTGAGGGCTCCCTGCATCATAAACCTTTCCAGAAACCCTGGGGGGAAGGGAGCCGTGTTTTCCTTGGATCCTAGCCTGCCGGATGGCAGCACAGGGTCCTGGTTAGGGGCCGGGCTCAGGATCATCCTGCCTTGGTCCGACCCACCTCTCCTGTTTTTGACTATACAGCAGTAAATTAGTTATGTCAGTTCCGGGGGGCATCATTAGAGAGCAGAGTAACAGTAGCCCTCCAGTCCAGCCTGGAATAATGGCTGACACCCAGTAAACACTCATGGTTTAGCAGCTATTATTACGGCTTCTTCTAAGAATCTTGAGAGTTCCTTTTACTGGGGTGAACATTGGATAGCCGTGACAGACTACCTGGAAAGCCAGTAAACAGCATGGAAGAAAACTGGAGTCGTAGGTGGGTTCTTTCCTTACTAGCTCGGTGGCTGATTTGAAGGCGCCTTCCAGCGTGATTCCCCATCCCACCTGAGCCAGCAGCCAACCCCTGAGCGGCCTCCTCCTGCCTCCACAGTACCAGTACTGGAACACCAAGGCGCGGCGCAATGAGTTCACTGCACTGGAGCTGTACGAGGGGACCGAGCAGTACAACGCCACTGCCTTCAGCTCTCTGGATCGTCCGCAGCTGCCCCAGGTGCTCCAGCAGTCCTACATCTTCCCCTCCTCCATCAGTGCCATGGAGGCCACCATCACGGAGCGGGGCATCACCAGCCGGCACCTGCTGAGTGAGTGTCGGGGGGCGGCCTCTGGGTGACGGGGACAGAGCAGGAGCAGGAAGCATGCTGCTGGCCGCCCTGTGTGACCACCTGGAAGGGAAGGCTGGTGAAGGCTGGATTCCAGGGTTCCTTAGTTTTGCCACCCACAAAGATGACCACTTCTCTCTTAGTCCTCTCAGTTTTTTTTTTTTTTTAATTTGCTAAAGAGCATGTGTGTGCACCAGAGAGAGACAGAGAGAAAGGGAAAAAGCACCTCCCAGTGCGGCGTGGTCACACTGCAATCCCTTCTTCATTTTTGCCTCCTGTCAGGACTGTGGGCACATGTACCTGGCATGTTTCCCAAGCTCCTGGAGCTGGGATTCGAACTACTTTCTCAGCCATGTGGGAAACAGCTCCCTTAACCACTAGGCCACAGGGCTGCTGCCACACCCACCCTACTTCTCCATTTCTGATAACCACTTTCCTTCTCGGCTTGATATTTTCACCTCACTTAGAAAATTGGTCCCTGATGTCATTCTGAGCATAGGCTGTGCTGACAGGCTGCAGAAACTGGCAGGGTTTAACAGCTCATCCTTGGGGCCGTTAGGTGGTGTGGTGGTTAAGGTGCTGGCCTCCCACATGGCCGACTGCGGTTCAAGTTCCAGACTTGGAGACTTGCTTTCTCACTTTCCCTCTCATTCTCTCTCTGGTGAACGCATGTGCCCTATAACAAACTTAAAATAATAATAATGACAATAATAAGTAAAATAAATAATTTTTAAAAATCCACCCTTCTGTAGCCTAAGTTCAGGACACAGTGATGTTTAACAGGTTCGCTTGGCTGGTTAATTTTGACCAAAATCGTTTGGGACAGTCAACACAGATGAGCACTTGGTAGTGCGACTTTCTTCTCCAACACGAGGAAGACAGCCCTCTCGGTGGTTTCCTGGCATTCCTCACCATTACCGAAACCACTGCTACCCAGTGCTGCCTGATCCTGCAGCCCGCCCCGCGGCCCCTGGACCAGCGTACATGGCGGCTCGTTTAGTGCCGAGGGGACTCACTTGGGCGAGGAGTTATTGGAGGTAGAGAGGGATGAAGAGGTCTAAGTGGCCTTCCATGCTCTTCTCTTTTATCCTCACCCAGATCTTGATTCTAGAACTTCATTCTGATGTTGCAGGATGGTATGTGAAGGAACGAGGGTCTTCAAAAGTGGGAACCTTCATTTGGACACATGCATATACATATTTTTAAATTATTTTAATTTAATTTTATTTATTCATTTGCTTTTAATTTGACCAGAGATAGAGAGAGAGAGAGAAGGAGAGAGAGAGAAACCAAGCCACCAGGTCTGGGACTCAAACCATGGTCGGCTATGTGGGAGTGTCCAGCGCCTTAACCAACCACCAAGCCACCTGCTGGTCCTCAACGGACCCATGCATATTATTGGATTATTCTTGTAGACTGTTTGAGGGAGCCTTATTGACCTCCTTTTTTATTTTAAACTCATTTTGTAACATTCTGTGATAATGAGACTTTTGTCACTGGCCCTCCTCTGGGACTGGATCATTATTAACGTTCAGTTCTTCCTGTGCAGTTGGGCTACCTTCTGGAGCAATTCTTTCCCTTCCTAAGGCCTTGCTGGATCCCCGCCGCCCAGAGATCCCAACAGAACAAAGCAGGTGAGACCCTTGTGGTCAGTGCTACATGCTCTGGCCTTAGGACCTTCCTCATCAGTTAAGTTTGGTCTTCAACCCGCTGTGCGCCCTCAGGCTTCGCCAGGGCTGGGGACGTGGCATGGAGCAGGTCCGACAGGAGGTCAGTCCGCGTCGAGCTTACAGTCTGGTGGGACCTAGTAAGTAAGAGCGACAAGAGAGAGCTTCTCTGTTAGGCACTCAGGAGTGCTGGGGGGAAAGTAAAATAGGGGTGGGCTGAGAAGGGTCTCTGGGACAAGATGTATGTGGGTGAAATTGAGATCAGATGTCCTGAGAAAGCGCCTCTTTTTTTTTTTTGGAGAGCTTTTTGCTATAGGGGGCATGTGCTCGCCAGACAGACAGAGACAGACAGAGAGATAGAAAGTGAGAAATCACCCCCCAGGGAGGATGGCCACGCCGCAATCCCTTCTCCCTTCTCCTCTCGGGATCTTGGGCGGGCACGCACATGTGTCCGGCGTGAGTTTTAAGCCACCGGGTCCGGGACGTGAACCGCAGTCGACTACGTGGGAGACCAGCGACATAACCATTACGCTAGCACAGGACCATAGGGCTGCACTGTGTGGGGACGCTAGAGCTGGGTCACTGTTAGGATCAGGTTTTGTATTTCCAGCCATCTCTGCATATTTTTTCTCCTCCATCCTGCATACTCCTCGTTTTGGGGCATGCAGATCTGGGGGTAGTGGAGGAAAGAGCAGATCTGTATTGGCATGAGAGGAGAGAAGTGTGGTGTGGAGGACCACATGAGAGGGGGTTAAAGTGGGAGAAGACTCGGAGAGCAGTCGGGATTTCAGAGGAGAGATGACTGAGAGGCGTTCTGGGACCGAGAGCAGGACTGGCCTGGTGCTGAGTGTGTGGGTTCTAAAATGGCCCTGACTGTCCTGCCCTGGTGTGAAGCGTCGGTCATGTGTTCTGTTTCTCTTCAGAGTAAGAACACAGTAGGAATCCAGATCTCTCTCACTCTTGCAGTCCTTCCTAACATTCAGCTGCTAGAATGTTAAATAAATAATGTAAATAGCCTTTGAAAGCGATTGGAAGCTACATACGTGACCTGGAAACCTTTCAGAACTCGGGAAGGGCACCAGATCAGTTCCCAGCCGTGTTCAGAGTGACTGTCTGGGCTGGTGTTTTGCAGAGAGGAGAACCTGATCCCGTACTCCCCAGATGTGCAAATACACGCCGAGCGATTCATCAACTATAACCAGACGGTGTCCCGGATGCGAGGCATCTACACAGCCCCCTCGGGCCTGGAGTCCACTTGCTTGGTAAGTAGAGTCCGTGGTCACGCTGTGACAGCTGCTCTGTTTCATCCTTGGGCAAACAGCTGAGTTTACGGTTCTGGTGGATCACTGGTTGCCTTCCTTCCAAAATTCTCCTAACTGCCTTCCAGGTCGTGGCCTATGGTTTGGACATTTACCAAACTCGAGTCTACCCGTCCAAACAGTTCGATGTCCTAAAGGATGACTACGACTACGTGTTAATCAGCAGTGTCCTCTTTGGCCTGGTTTTTGCCACCATGATCACTAAGAGACTGGCTCAGGTGAAACTCCTGAATCGTGCTTGGCGGTAAAGCCCTGAGTCCATGCCAGAGAAGAGAGCCGGAGGGGTGCAGCCAGCTGTGAAGCTACAGCTGCAGTTTGGCCATCGTGGAGTATGTGTGTTCAGTGCTCATCTCAGTTCAGAGTTGTGGGAACCCTCGGGTAGAAGTCCCAGAATCCACATGACGCAAAATCCCTCCGTGGATGGAGACAGCGCTCACTGTCTCAGCTGAGAACTTGAAGCACCCTGATGGACTTTTCCTCTGCGGTCCAAAGGACCTGCTGTTTCCTGTCTTTGCCATCCCTGAATGTTCTGTTATTTTTGTGAGACCATCAGCTGATTTTTCTTTTCTGTGAGGCCTGTGGAAATTGAATTGAATTTGTCTTCTTGGTTTCCCAGTTTTATCTGGGGATCCTTCTGACTCTTCCCTGCGTTCTGCTTTAGAGTTAGAAGGGAGCTCTTCTGGCCAATGCCACCTGGTAGGAGCAGTTGCTGTTTTACCCCAGGGAGAAATAGGATTATCATAGAGGAGGTCTGAGGACTGACCAGCCTCGTACCATTTCTCTCCAAATCATTTAGGGTCAAGGAAGCTATGTGTGGTGTCAAAATTGGTTGTCACTTAGCCTCTCGTTTCATGCTGTCACTCTAGTTTGATGCTCTCCTATATGAGATTGGGCCACCCAGTCTTTACTTCAGTTTCTTAAAAAGCCAAGTGCACCCTAATGTCTTGGTTTGTGGGTTATTTCCTGTGCTTTCTACCTGAGATACGTCAGAGCTTTTTAAAACTACTGAATGGTCTGAACCTCAGAGAGCTACTAAGGGGTCACTTGCCCATTCCACGACCTCATAGTCTCTCACTTCGCCCGCAGGCCACTCTAGTCACCTAGGAAAGGTGTTCTTAATTGAAGACCCCATTATTTATTTTTAGTTTTAGATAGTAAATTAACACATGCGTCATTATGGTTCTCTTTGAGTGAACAGATTTTAAAATTTTATTGTTTTAACCTTTGACACTGTTGGGTCGTCAGGAAAACCATGACATGTTTTTGCGTAGAAAAACATGGAAAAATATATCGTGACTTTTCAGAAACCTAATTTTAAAGTGGGGACAAAAAGGGTTGGGGTAAGAGACTGGCATTTGTGGATGTAGCATTACTGATGGGCCAGGTTGCTGGGTCTATGGAAGAAATAAACGTTTTCCCTTGTGGATTGGGAATGATGGAAATTTTCTTTGCTGAGAAGAATGGATGTACAGGGAGTGGACCATCTCTAGGTCTGACCTTCGTCCTCTATTGTGTGTTAGGAGATTACATGGAGACTACTTTTTCACTAGTGGAGAAAAGGCAGGGTAGAAACCAAGTGTATTTTAATAATGAAACCTGTCAGTTTAATTATTAAGAGTTGGTTTAAGTTATTTTTAAACAAAACTTGTCATCTTTCTGTGATCTTATTCTGATGGAGGATTACTGGCAGAGGAAACAAATAATAATTTTACTTTAATAATAAAATAGTCTGATTGATGTTGAGTGAATGAACGAACACCTAAGTAGATCCAAACAACCACGCACCTGTTCATCCTGATCCACAGAGTGTTCTTCTTTTTCTTTTCCAAGTGGCCTGAGAAGAGAGTAAGTTCTATCCTAGTTTTGGGAAAGGCTGACTAGAATCATATCTCCCGACCTGACTAGAATCATATCCCCACTCCCACCCCCCGCCGAGAGATTTTTGCTATAGGGTGCTTGCTCTCTCTGGAGAGACAGAGACAAGAGAGAGAAAGTGAGAAATCCCCCCAGGGGTGCAAACCTTTCTCTTCAGTACTCCTCCCCAGATCTTGGGCATGCATGCACATGCACCTGATGTGAGTTTCAAGCTGCCAGGTCTGGGACTCACACCATATTTGGCCATGTAGGATTCCAGTGCCTTAACCATCACACCACGTACTGGACCCTGGCTGGAATTTTTGACTGTCTTATACAAACATGTACAAGCTACCCTAGTGTCTTGGTTGGTGGGTTATTTCCTGTGCTTTTCACCTGAGATATGTCAGAGCTTTTTAAAACTACTGAATGGTCTGAACCTCAGAGAACATCCTAAATGGTTGTCTTCCTGCCTGTTGTGCTTAAATAGCCCAGTGAACCCACAAATTCTTGTTTTCCTTTACCTGTGTGCCAGAATCTGAAAGAACCAACCAAGGGGAGGGAAGTTATGTGCCCTTTTGTAAAATGCCCTCTGATATTTCTTTCCTTGTCTTTCTTTCTTTCTTTTTTTTTTTTTTTTAGAGATTTTTGCTATAGGGTGCATGAGCTCACTGGAGAGACAGAAATCATCCCCCAGGGGGGATGGCCATGCTGCAATCCCTTTTCTTCCATATCTTCTCGAGATTTTGGGCACAGACACACACACAGCAGGCGTGAATTTTAAGTTGCCGGGTCTGGGACTCGAACCACCGTTGGCTAGGTGGGAGTCCAGTGATATAGCCATTATGCTGTCTGCATGTCTCCCTCTGATACTTTCAGCTTTAATCATTACTGTGTTACTGAAAATCACCTCTAAGCAGGTACTTAATACTAATACCATAGTCAAATCTACATTTTTTGTTAGTTCTCAACCTTCTTTAATCTTTTTTTTTTTTTTTTTTTTTTGTTAAGTTTTGCTGTACGGCACATGTGCTCAACAGAGACAGCAAGAGGGAGAAATTACCTCCAGGGGAATGGCCTCCTCCTCCATTAGCTTCTTGGATTTGGGCACATATGTACACATGCCTGGTATGATTTTCAGGATGCTGGGTTCTGGACTCAAGCTGCAGTTGGCCGTAGTCGAGGGATCCATCCTCAAGCACCCTACCACCAGCTAGCCCTCAGCCTTGTTGATCTGACATCACCATTCAGTGTAGACTGGCTATGCTCAGCTTCTATCACTGGCTTCAGAGATGCGTTTCCTACTCTGTCGACTTCCTTGTCTTCCCCTTTTTCAGGGCATGTTCCTTGAGCCATCTCTTCTTTTGTCTTAATTAATTAGATTCACTTTGGGGCACTCCTACAATGTTTGCACTTAAAAAGCAATTCCTCAGTATTTTAGAGGCCATTATTTTTGTTAGTTCAATCAACTCACAAGATCTTCTGGTGTAAAATACTGCTAAATAGTACTTGTGTTGGGAATAATGGAAAATGGTTTGTAGCTTTTGTTGTCTATTTTTTTTTTTCTTTTTTTTTTTTTGGAGACATTTTTGCTATAGGGCACATGTGCTCACTGGAGAAACAGACAAGGCAAGAAATCACCCCCTAGGTGGGATGGCCATGCCACAATCATTCTCCGTTCTCCTTTCAGGATTTTGGGCATGTACATGCACACACCCAGCGTGAGTTTCAAGCCTCCGGTTCTGGGACTCCAATCATAGTTGGCCATGTGGGAGTCCAGCAACGTAACTATTATGCCATCTGTTGGTCCCATTGTGGTCATTTTCCTTCTTTTTTTTTTTAAGAGAGATTTTTCCTAGAGGATGTGTACACATGGGAGTAACAGAGACAGAAAGCAAGAAATCACCCCCGAGGGGAAATGGCCAGACTGCAGTTCATTCTCCTCTTGGGATTTTGAGCATGCACGTACACGTGCTCAGCATGAGTTTAAGTCGCTGGATCCGGGACTCAAACATGGTCGACTACATGGGGGTCCAGCAACGTAACCGTTTTGTCATTTGCTGGTCCCCCAATGAGAAAGCAAGCCATCAGGTCTGGGACTCGAACCATGGTTGACCATGTCGGAGTCCAATGCCTTAACCACTACACCACGTGCTGGCCCCCAGAAGTATAGTTACAACAAAAGGCTCAGGGTCGGTAAAAATCCTTTTTCTTTGAAGAGATTGGTGTAAACAGAAAGTATTATGCCTCACGACCCTCCTCTTAAAACTGTAGCTTACTGATTTAATGCCTCTTTTGGAAGAGGCTGAGCCCTGCTCTCTCCCCCACCCCCAGCACAGAGGGTGAACAGGCTCCTGTGTAGATGATACAGATTTATTTTCATAAACCAGGAGTGGCTCTAATAAATAGTTGGCCCTGCATTTTAATAACTTCCATAACCAGTTAGGGTCACACTTTATTTTTGAGAGAGAGATTTTTGCTGTAGGGCATGTGCTCTCGCCAGAGAAACAGAGAAAAAGAAAGTGAGAAATCACCCCCTGGGGGGGATGGCCATGCTGCAATCCCTTCTTCATTCTCCTCTC